AGACTTAATTGCTGAAAGGGAGGGTGGCAGATGTGAGGAGGGTAAGGAGCTGGCGAAGAGGGTGCGCGCAGGGCGACGCTGCGGCTGTTGCGGTGAGATTAGGCACAACTCTCGCACCTGCAAGGTAGAAATTGAGGATATAAATAACAGCGACGCTTCTAAATAATACTATACTGTTGCAAGAGTACAAAATTTGTGTTGTGGTGCTAAGCTACGTCGCTGCGCGTACGCCTCGCTGGTGTTCGTGTGGCGCTCACTGAGGTGGGGCGCTCACTGATAAAACAGGTTAGTTTATTAAGCAGAGCTACTATTATAGCAGGATTAGGAGTTATTATAGCTATTACAGCTGTTAGGACTGTTAGAGCTATTAGCTTAAAATTAGCTAGACATTGAATACATATTAAATAACTATTGTAGGCCTATAAGTCCTACTATTGCCTACAGTATAATGCCATGATTTCCTGATTTCGACAACAGAAAAACTTTTCCCGATGTAGGGTAGCTTACTAAATTCTACAACAAGCGCGCTTGAGCATTACATCAAGGGCGCAGCAATAGTCACGCACAAGCTTGTGCTTGCAGAGAAACAGATTGCTGAGCTTAAAATAGCTAACAAGGCTGCCACACGCCAGAAACTGCACAAGAGAAAGCAAGTCTAGGTAGAAGGGACCCTAACAGTTAAGGATGGCCTGTAATTAACAACTCTAAAGGAGTTTAGGGCGCGTAGTAATAGGAAGAAGGTAAAGAAGCAAGTGCGCGCTGATAGGGCTAAGCTGACCTAAAGGCACTATAGACAGTGTAACAAGACTGGACATAACGCGCGAACATGCAAGAATGATGTAGAAGTAGTTTCTAAGTAATATTACAGGTTGTTCTACCCTGCGCAGCGCCGAAGTGGGCTAATAGAGGCCATAATGGGGTGAGGTTTGGTGGGGGCTTGGCAAAAGTGAGTCGCTCGCCCGTTGAGTCGTTCGCCTGTGGGGTACGTTACCTCTTTCTTACACGTTCGCGCGTTATGCCTAACGTAGATTATCACCGAGCCGGCCATATCACTGAACCAGCCATTTTCTCTTAGCACAACTAACACAAGTTACTACAACTACAACTACTTGCTATTAAATAGTGACCTAGCATACTGCGTGCTTGCATTAGATTTAGAAGATGTTTCTGCACCCTCCTAGCACGTTCGTGCGTTATGTCCAGTCTTGCTGCAGTTCCTACAGCGCTGAACAGTTGACTAAGCTCCTAGTTAACTACCTCTACCCTAAGTCTTCTTAGATGGCTAAGCTGCTACACACGCCTTAGCAGCTACCTGCGATGCTGCTGGGCCATACTCAAGTGTGCCACTATGCTGAATCTGCTTTCTCTTACGCAATTTTCTCTTAGTTATTACTACTAATTACTCTTTAAGCTCTTGCACGTAGGCCTTAATAAGGACGTTTTTATACAGTATCTCTTTAGCCCCTTTTATAAGCTTTAAGAACCCCTCTTACACTGCACTTAGTAATTATTAGAAGGAGTTACTTACAAGCTTAGATTAAGACCTAAACTTGTGTGTATTGCTTAGTGTCTTAGATTGCTACAGCGTTTTAGGTAGAGGTACTGCTAGTAGGGTATGCAGCTGCACTTTAAGGCAATCTAACACTACCTATATATTAGTAGGAATAAGCCCTAATACCTTAAAGGCCTTTTAGTAGTTAACCTTTATAAATATATTAAGGAACACATCCCTAAAGGCTAGTAGGAAGCCTTCCTTATTAATATAGAAGACATGTTAGTATGCTAAGTCTTAAACATGTTAGGAGTACTTACGCTTTAATAGCAAGAAATAGACTATATTAAGTAGCTAGAGGATGTATAATAA